TCTGTAACTAATGTGTTTGCAATTCTTTCTCCACTCAGGTTTTCTGAACAGCTTTGAGGAGTTACAAGCAGAGGAATGTGGTATTCTGAATGGATGTGAAAATGGCCGATGTGTAAGAGTCCAGGAAGGCTACACCTGTGACTGCTTTGATGGTTATCACCTGGACATGGCCAAAATGACTTGTGTTGGTGAGGCTGGCATATTATTTCATCTTCTTCTGTTAGTCTGTCATGCAGTCACTTGACCTGAGGAGGGGCTAGAGCAAAAGGGGTTGTAGATGATCACCTGAATTGTATTAAAGATGCTAACTTGGATTTACTGTAAATATTGTTACAGAAATAAGTTGTTGTTCCTCAGTTCATCTTGGTCATTTCAGCTGTGTTTGGTTAAGAGCCTAGAAATGAGCAGACACATTTGAGTAATGAAACTTAAACTTATATCAATAACTTAACACTAATATACAGAACAAATGTTTTTCAAAGGCTTTAGTGAGCTAAGATGAGGGAACTGGATCCAGAGTAGAAGAGTAATTTTAGGAGCAGATTTTTGGAGTGGCTGAGTCACCTAAATATGCAGATAACCCCTTGGTGGGGCTTAGCCCCTGATTCTCACCAGTTTCAACAGACAACAGACCAGACTATTCCTCTCACTCTCAAACTAGTAAATCTCCACAGCTACTGACCAGGACATCTAATGACTATGTCTTCAATTAAAACAACAAAACACAGGAATGGCAAGTGTCAGTGAGATGATTAAGCAAAACACCATCCCTCAGTGTAGAAGCCTAGTAGAGACCTTGGGGGGGTATTTCAGTTTACGGTCTGTACTAACCTTGCTTACCATTCCGGTTTGTAACCCACAGCTGAGGTCTCCCAGCTGTATCATGGTGAGCTGCCTGCATGCCTTGTCATCTTCAGGACTTAATGGCAAGATGGTCTGCTTAGAGAGAAACTATGTAGCTCCTGCGTATTTCAGGCCAGTGCTGCACAATACCGAGTGCAGGTAGTTTGCTGTTCACAACTATTTAGTTGACAACAGCAACAGCTCCTATTCGATTTTTAAAAATACAGATATTATACTAAGAATTCAGAGCTTCTTTCTTATAATCCACTTTTCAGTCATCACATAAAACCTGTAAGTGTTTATTAAATTTTTGTTTTGCAGCTTAGGCTGAATCTGGACTTGGTGTTCTAACAGTTTAAGGCCATTTAATACACTATCGATGTCCTATGATAACTTCCACCTCTTCCCAATAAAACTCCCACCTGTTACAGCTTTTGACCCAGCCTAATTGCACCTGGTCTGAACAGAAAAGACAATTCTCAGTGTATTCATGCAGTACATTCTACTCCTGACAATGCTGGAAATAAATGAGTTCTACCTACACACGAGACTTAAGTGCATGTGTTTTGATGTCCCCTTTTTGCAGATGTGAACGAGTGCAACGAGTTGAACAGCAGGATGTCTCTCTGCAAGAATGCCAAATGCATTAACACAGAAGGTTCGTACAAGTGTTTGTGTCTCCCCGGGTACGTGCCTTCAGACAAGCCAAACTACTGCACACCACTGAGCTCAGAACTAGACAGTGAACTGGAGTAGAGGAAAATCTCCATATCCTAAGCCCATATACTCTGCACTGTATAAAGAAAAAGGAAGAAAAGTATTTAACTTGAGAAGAGAAGGCACCGCAGTAGCGAACGTAAGGGGAGAAAAGCATTAAAATGTGTCAAAGGTGAGACATGATGGGCTGATTGTATATCAGCTTCACTGAAGCGACAGACCAAATGGACACATTACTCTATGAAAGAAACAATCAACTATATAGTGTGTTCATAAGAAAAAAAGTATCTTTCAAAATAAGCAAAAACAGTGCTGTTATTTTAAACAGAAGAGCTTTGGTTTTTTGGTTTGGTTTTTTTTTTTTTTTTTACTATTGCTTGATTAATTTGGCATTTAAATAGTGATGGAAATATTTTATATTACTATGTCATTTTTTGATTGTTCAGTTCCTTGCCTACTGTTTCTTTTCAGACCTTTTTTCTGATCAGTACAAATTTTATGATACAGATATTCTTAGGCCATTTTATAAGAACTGTTACACAGGGTAATGCTCCTCCTTCTCTGGAACATTGGTCAGTGACTTTTTTTTTAATTTGCTAGTTGTCTGCCCTGTGGAGCAGGCACCATTTGTTTTCAAATGTTTATATACCTTGGCGAAAAGTCCTTATATTCATTTTGTATTCTGTATGGTTGTTACTGCACTTAAAGTCTTTAGAACCTTTCTTGCCAAGTTCAAAGCTGCTAGTGGACAACATTGGATTCCTTTTGTACATTAAAACAAAAGATTTTAGCTCACGTCTGTATTGTAATGTGTAAATTGAACACAAGAGAGATCTTGTATGATTACCCTAACATATTAAAGCTGTATATTAAAACTCAATAAAATCACCTTTTTTTTAGAAAAAAGCTATTTACTAATTGTAGGCAATTTTTTTTTCTTTTATTGGTGTTTATGTTACAAGAATCAACCCCTCAGGTGTTTACAGTACCAGAATTAATTTACATTACAATAGTTACAGGGGGTTGTCTGGCTGGTTTTTCCTTCTCATGCTGTTTTAATAAGACCAGAATCTGAATTAGTTGATGCCTGAAGTTAGGCTTCCAGAGGGAAGATTTCAAACACAGACCTACAGAAACTGTTTGACTTGGAAGCTGATTCCCATGGAATTTTTCTCCTTTTCTGGTTTAGGCATGTTTCCCACTAAATCTGCAAATGAGGCTCTTCAGTAGGATGGCCTGGTTTTCAGAAAGTACTGAAGAGGAGGGGGAGAATTTCCTTTTCTTGATGAACTGTACCTTCCCATCAGCTCTATTTTTCAGTGCAGGGAGAGAAAGAGATGAGGAGACTGACAGATGTTTCACTTCTTTGACCTTCTCCAGAGTGAAAGAGTTTGCTTTAGAAATCCCCAAACAGGTCCTTTTGACATTTTCCAAATGAAACATTTTTGCTGTTTCTTTTAGACCTGCCCTGCGTTAAAAGGAAAAGGATAACATGAGACTTTTAAAGTGGGTCAGGTTGGGTCCAATTGTCCGAGAATTAAGATTTTTTTTATTTCTCATTTCACCAAAAAAAGAAATACTTGTTTTGGTTCTGAATCAGATTTCTTTTCCGATATTCAGGTCAGCCGCTGAACCAAAAATATCGTAAGTTGTATTCCTTTCCGTACCATGCACTCAGGAGATATTAAAGCCCACGTGCCTGTTAAAAGTGCAGAAGCATCTGTCCTTCTCAGGGCACCTCCTCTCTATCTGCTGGAATTTGACACTAGTAGTAGTGAAAATACTGTACACTTAAAATCTGATGGTATGTTAAAATTCAAGAAAAAATTCTGAATAAAATGTTGGGGGAAGGAATCTTTAAGGAAGAGACTCTTTGTAAAGTGCCCGACTCCCTTGACTTTTCTAGAATTAAGCAGCAGAGGGGTGGAGGGCTAGTTGTTCTCAGTCAAAAGAGGTAGACTACAAACACTACAGCTGATGTGTAATTACGAAAAAAAAAGAATTTAATTCTTGCTTACCTGCTGTGGTTAAGGAGGAAGGAAGGAAGGTCTGGTCTTACTAGGGAAATCTGTAACTGAAGAGCTCTTAGTTGCCCTGCTTAAGGTTAATCCTATGATCTTAGTAAAACCCAGAGTCACAGTTACAGCCTTTCCACTGGATTCAAGATGAGTTCTGGTCTGCTTTCCACTATCATGAAAATTCATAGACAAAATGGTGCCCCCCCCCATTCCTACCTCCAAACAGCCACCTCCTGCTTCAGAAACTGGCTGTGCTCACCTCTGAAAGACGGCCTAGGCCCCAAAGCTGCCATTGCGATCAGCACCACAGCCTCAGATTTCTCAACATCCCAGTACTCCTTCAATCCTTCCCCAGCTAGGGTAGTACAAGTCTCTGCTTTTCCTGGGAGTACACCAGTATGACAGCTGAGGAAGTAACACTCAAAACTTCAGTACTCTTAGAAGTCTTCACTTGGGCACAAACACTGTACTGACCATGTAATTCTGAGCCACAAGATTGGCTCCTTGCTGATTTATTACATCTTTTTAAAAACAACAAATTTAGAATAGCCTGGAACTTTGCCATTCTCGGACAATATACATTCTGACCCCCCTTACTTGGTGTTCTTTCAGACAAAAAAAAAAACCAAAAACACACAAAACAAACCACACACAAAAAACAACCCAAACCCACGCTGTTCCATGAGCAACAAAACTAAAATGAAGCTTGAATTCCTATAAGCTTTCCTTGTAACTCTCTCTCCTTAGCAGACTAACTCTAGCTCCGTCTCCTTACATCTCTGCCACTCTCAACAAGCACAGACAGCACCCGTCTGCAGCTGTGGGTGCCGGAACAGGGTGAGGGGTGCACATGCATTGACACAACCACTGCCAAACCAAACGTTGTCCATATGCTCAGCAGGGAGGGTGAGTTGGGTCACTTGTCTCTACCTGTTCATCAAGCTTCACAGACCTCAGATTGTACTGGCCTTTTTGTCTTGTTTGCCTTACACACATGGTTGAAACTGGCCATGGGGTTAAAAGCTACCAGTAGGTTCAGTGAGATGGCATACACTGGCTTTGGTTCCACAGAAAACAAACCAACCAGCAAACCTAAGCAAGCGGCATCTTGGCCTGTCAATTTCTGTTACCCTGATTCACAAAAGAGGTCTTGGTGTGTCCCACCACCATCCATCTCACCTGCCTGATTCAAGAGGGCAGCAGTTGACCCAAGCCCTGAGTGAAGCTTGAAAACATTCTTCTGGTTCAATAGCCATGGCCTCCTCACAGCCGCGCTATTCTATTACAGACACTATATAAGCAAATAACATACTTGGTGCATGCTTCTGCCTTTCCCTTTTGCCTCTTCTTACCTCTAACATGCCTTAAAACACACACAGGGAGCCAAAACCAGCCCAAACTCCACTTACATCCCAGTGCTTAGTATTCCACATTGCCTGGCTCCAGGCCTTCAGAAATGCTTTAACAAAGGAACCACAATTGAAGGAATTAAGTGAAATTCAGCCCATATGACCTGAGCCTCTGGAGCCCACCTACTTTGCCTTGGTGCAGCAAGGCTGGTTCTGTCACTTCACCTGAAAAGCTGCAGGGCTCAGGAATACAATTTTGATTCATAGTTAAACAAACATTTTCTTAACATCATTAAGACGAGGGATTGGACACCATGGATGTAGCCTTTTACTTGTTACAAGAGCTGCGGTTTAGGTGAGAGCCCTAAAAATACAGAAACCACCACGTACAATTCTATTATTCAAGTTTCTGAGTGCAGCAGAGTCTGGAACTGATTACAGTTTATACCAAGTGGCACCAATACTTTTTACATCCATATGGACCCTTTAAAAAAAAAAAAAAAAATATTAGTCCCTTTTTTTCAGCCAGCCATTTCCTTGCTTCAAAAAATAAAATTGCTGACATGGTAGAACTAAATTCTTCTAGTTCCCTTATAATGCTGCTGTGTTAATGAGAATGAAGTTATTACAGAACTAGAGCGACACACATTTCAGCTAGAAAGACATTTGATATGAATAGATACTTTCATGTTGGGATGCTATTCAGTGAAATACTAGCCAATGTTAAAACTATTCAAAGTGAGCGCTAACATTCCTTGGGAAAAAAGTCACAGCTGGACAGATCATTTCAAGCCAAGAGACAAAACTGGCAGTCATGACAAATATTCAGCTAGTCAGTGGCAACTGACACAAATAAATTCCTGACTAAGAGAAGTCCTAAAATGCTGAAGGTGCCAAAGTGACCTATTAACTCCCAATGATCCTCATGGGGGTTTGAATCTGAGATTTGGGTTCCTCACTGCCCCTTCAGTGATGTCCATATGGCAGCCAGAGGGGCTCCTGG